AAAAAAAATTAAAAAACGCTTGCAGTCCCCTGAGTGGGGCGTGACTGCTTTGTACAATGTTCGCGATTGGCTGAAAAAGGATTCCAAACCCAACCGGTTTTGTTCTCTGTTTTTCTCAAATTCTACTTTTGCTCTACAGGAAGTACGAGCTTAAATCCATTATTCGCGTTGAGAAGAAAGAAGATCCCAAAAAAGGAAGCAGATATTTTCTTGAACTTGAAGTTAAAGATCTAACCACTGGTGCGAGCTATATATTGGCAGAATACGTATTCCAACCAAAAGGTGAAAACGCCCGTTTATGCTATCCTAAGGGCCTGCAGTGGGACAGGACAGCGGATGTTTATCTTATCCTCACGGCCAAGAACCTGGGTCGATGGGTTCATCATTTCATCAAGAACGTAGAACAAATTGTTCAAGAAACGAATGATGAACATTTACATGCGGTCATTTTTGACTTTGATAGCCCCGATATTGATCTAGAACAGGCTTTCAAGAGGAGCACTCTGAAGAACTACCATTTTATCACACAGCCTGGAAACTATTCTCGTACAATTTCTTTGAGTAGGGCAGTGCAGTCCATACGGAAACCTGACGCCATATTTGTCACTGTCGACCTACACCTAGATATTGGTAGTCAGCTGATTAACGACATACGCAAGGTGAGTACATAGCCACCATTCCTGTGCGGCAATGCCGATATCAATGACAAGTTCTTATTTTCCCTGATAAGTCGAAACTTTGTCGACTGGTATCCAAAATAATAAAATCGCTGCCACGTGTAGATGGTGCTAATTCCATTCTAAAGAGAGTCGCACATCTTAGCCATTATCAATTGTGTTGACTTCTGACTTCCATCTTCTCTTCAGATTATACACTTACATTAACGTTTGCTGAATCATTCAACTACACTACTATCTTTTTATTTTTCTCTCCAGCACTGTTCTAAAGGAAAGACGGTGTATGCTCCCCAAATCGTCTTTCTAAATTGCGGTGGAAGCAGCGCTTTACCCAGAGGTGTCTGGTATCACTACAGTTATGGAACAATAGCAATGTACAAAGAGGACTGGCAGAGATTCGGCGGATTTTCAAACCGTTTTGCAAACAAAGTTACGTGGGGAGGCGAGGACTGGGATATAATTGACGGCGCGGTCAAGAGTGGCCTGGAAATAGAGAGAAAACGTTGCCCCTGGGTCTACCATTATTTTCACACTAAAGCTGGGATGTGGTCTAAAGGATCAGGACACCGCTAGAGAAACGTGACCCTGACATGCGCAGTTCGGACACAAGGTAGCTGCTTGACGTCTCATGAAAGGATTAATTTTAACCATCACTGAATAAAATGAAGTACACCAAACAGCAGAAGTTGTAATCTCACATCAAATTTATCGCTTTCAGTTAATTTCAAGCTTCTTAAAATAATTAGTGGAGAAAATCAAAAAAGCTCTTGTAGGTGACGTCTACCTGAGACTGGAGACTTGGCCTTTTTATAGTGCAATCGACTTCGCAACGACTTCTGTGAAATGCTAAAATATGAAAAATCTACTCGAGGCAAGAATCCGAAATAATGGCAAAAATTGCACTTTGTCAGCGACTGCGTTTAACGCAAAAAAATGGGTAATAGGGTGGAGAGGTTTTCTGATTTCTGAAATTATGTATATAACCATACAGTCAAACTACAAGCTCCAAACAAAAGCCTGTTGTAACCCAGTCTGTTCAAACTAGTCTTTT